ATGAATGATTAAGTATTGACAAAACAAAAAAATGTGTCAATCAAATCGTGTCAGAGACAAAGTTACAATACGTACCCTTTCTCCCAAAAAGCTTTCTATCAGAAACTACAGTTTCCGAAAAATACTCCTATCTTCTTTCTGTCTAAATAAATGAAGCAATCTCAATCGGCAAAACGGTCTATCACTCTACGTTCGCTCTTTCGTCTCTGTCCTTCCTAGGTGGTATCAAAGCTAACACTCTCGCCCGTCGCATTCGCAAACATCACAGGATACAGAGATGAGTGAGAATGCGATGATGAAGGAAATTACTTGTGGTCGGAGATGAAGAGAAGAGAAGGGTGGTAATGGAGAATAGGGGACTAAATTACAAGTCTGAAAAGTGTTACTTGTTTCTTACTAGCCCAGTTTAAACGAAAAGGTTGCTCAGAATTTGGCATAGTCGTTCCATTAAACTCCTGCAAAACCTTATCAGCTACATCATGGGAATCAAACTCCACAAATCCATATCCTTCTGATAGACCATTGTGCTTATTACGAATCACCTTCAGCGAAACAATCTGTATCTGTATTAAACATAAAGTACACACACCTTTAGACCAAATTCACAAGAAACAGAGATAAAACAGAGTCATCGAGTTACATAGATAAAAAAAAGCAAACTTTATATGATAAATGCTGAAAAGGGCATCTTTTTAAAGTCAAAAGCATTAAAAGTCAACGAAAACAGAATCAAGAAAGAGTTAATACACAATCTAAGACCATCGGCAAATGTGTTTGTGTGGGTGTAAGTATTTTTTTAGTATTATAATTTAAAGCAAAAGAGAAAAGAGAAAGAAAGAGATAGAGAGAAAAAGTGTTACACCCGAGTGTAAACTTACACCCGGGTGTGAAGAGAGAAACAATTTTTTCGTTTTTTTAATACCTACACCCCAAAACTCATACCCACCTGCTTGCCCCACTGCCCATGCTCTAAGACACTAATCAAGAGATACATAGCAATAATGACAGAGAGAGAGAAACAAAACCTCGTCGCCGGAAGCAAAAGCAGAATTAAGATAAGCCTCATCCATCCAATGATGCAAATCACCAACCCAAATGGTTTTATTCTCACGAGATTGATGGTGAAGGTGGTGGTGATTCGGATATTGATGAGAAGGTGAGAACGGCAGCGGTGGCGGCGGAGTCGGAGATGTTTTTGGTTGATTCTCCTCTTCTTCAACCGGCTGTTGCGGCGGCGGAGGAGGAGGTGGTGGTTGATTGTCGACGACCAACGGCTGAGAATCCGAGGATTTGGATTGGGATTGAATCTTGACGTCTGCCATTAAATTTTGCGGCTATGAAGTGATTGTGATGCGATGTGAGATTTAGGGTTAGTATCGGTTTCGGACCAAACAGGGGAAGTTTTGAGAGTTGAGTTTATATTGTGGTAACTGGCAAATACGGGTCCGGTTTATGGGTGTTTCTAGGTTTAAACTTTAAAGTCATCCTAGTTTAGTGAAAACCGTTGGATTGTACGGAGAGATAGAGAGAGTTAGATCTTAACCGTCGGTTTTTTTCTTTGTTCGTTATGTTGCTATTATGAGTTAGATTCTGTCGCATGATGTTTTATTTAACATTTTAGTTTTAAGAAAGCTATATGCTATTATTAATGGTTTAAGTTTGCTATCTATAATTATTTCTTTGTGTTTTTTAATTTTCTTTTAGTAATAGTCCATATATATTTTACTCATATCCTTCTTGGATTTTTTTTTTTTGAACACCATCCTTCTTGTAACTTACTTTCCAATTGCTTATTGTAAATTTTTAAAATCTATTTAGTGTTTTACACCGCAAATACGAATTGAGATAACTTGTCAAATATAGTAAAATATTAGCGAGGACGTAGAGACTATCCTGGAAACAAATTACCAATCTCTAAACTTAAAAGTCGAAAATCATATGCTACTAATACTAATTATATGTGAGAAACTTTTTTCAAATAATTATATATTATAATTTGAATCCTCAAAAAAACACTAATGATTCTGATTATTTGTTTAGCCAGTAAAACATAGGACATCAATCTTGATAGTCTGTATAATTTCTACGATTGTAACCTTAAGTATTTTTGTTGGTTACTTCCATAGTTTACTTTTCCATCAGATTCATCACGCCCACTTGTTCTTGCTGTATATATGCTTGGACCTTACCTATTATTACTGTTGCATAGTAAAATTGCTCAGGGTCTCTTTATTCAAGTTTAACTTCGAGGAAAAAAAAATACCACTAAATAATTTGGGGTTTACATTTTAAATTAAAATATTAGAATTTGGAGAAACAGTATAACTCTAAGTAACTATGATTCCTTAAGGTTTTGGCCGTGGCTAAATAGCACCGGAGAATAGTCATTTACGCATTACATCATCATCACCACAACCATTATTTCTCTTTGCTTCGATCACCACCGCCGGTACTATTATTGACTTTCAACCTAACACTAAAAGCATACATAATTTTGCCTGAGAAACAACTCATATTAGAAACTCAAATAATAATGAAAAGCATTATAATTTATAAATGTAGAAGTGATTATAAGAGTGGATATTGCTTAAGATTGAGGAAATTTGTGAAAGAAAAAGAATTTTTTTTTTGTCAAAAGTAGGATCTGTTGGTCTTAAAAAATAAATATGTTGGTTGTTTTCTATATAAAAAGGATGTAAAATGTAACTTTACTTTTCTTTTAGTAAATACAAAGTGATTTACAACGGATAGTCCGGATTTCGCATGTGTATAGGGAGTCCAATCGTCTTGCGGATGGATTGGCGAACTATGTGTTTTCTCTTCCTTTAAGTTTTCATAAGTTTGTTGTTGTTCGGCCTGGTATGGCGTCAATTTCTTTTGAGGACATTAGTGGGTCTTCACGACCACGTTCGGTTAGGATGTAATTTTAATTTTGTTATGAATAAATGGGAGTGACAATGTCTCCCCTCCTCTTACCAAAAAAAAAAAAAGTGATTTACAACAGATGAGCAAATAGAGAAAGCTCGGACCTTACTTTCTTTTTCTTGCATAGCTGATAAGTTAAAAGCATATGAATTTGACTTCGCGCGCAATCATAATTAGTTCCCCTGCATTACCATCATTGAAGAATTTAGGTTCCCCTGTTTTATTTTATTTCCGAAATATTTTACTTCTTTTCTATGTTGAATAAGATAAGCACATATACTGTATTTGTTGAGTGGTGGGAGTTAATAATTATGTTTAGGGAGAAAACTAACCTTGTCAAAAACTACGTAGGGACTGAGCTTCATTGGAGGCTTATCAACTATAGATAGCATCATCTTCGTACATTCAAGTCAAGAACACATGAAAACCATTATATGCATGTCAGGTAATCAACAAATATTTCCCTTACGAAAGATGCATTAGCAGATATAACATAATATAGCATATAATGTTGTTATTTTAAAACTAAGTACACATTCTTAAGAAAAATCTAGAAACCTTTTTTTAATGGAAAGGCTGAAGACATCAAAATATGAGTAGCTTCGAGAATTACCTCTAAATACTGAATCAACATAGCAAATAATTTTGTAAGATATATGAGAGATCTCCCATAACTATATAACAATAATAAAGTGGGATCGGTACAAGGAACCCTAGAAATAAAACCTTTTGGAAGTCTTTTTCACTTTCACCGTATCCTCTTCTTCTTTTGTCTTCTCCTCGTCTAGCCGTGCCTATGGGTAAGAAAAAAGGCATTTGCCTCAGGTATTCAAAATATAATGATTGTTTAGGGCCTCGAATTCTTGAAAATGGTGCGTATCAGAATGGTTTTGAGGAACCCTGTTATCCTGAGTAACCAGGGTTCGATCCCTCTCCCCTGTTTCTTCCATTTAATTTTTTTTATTCCACTTTTAAGTGACTTTATTCACTTTCTTCCTTTTAAAACAGTTGGAACCTTCAAAATATTTATTAACTTAACATATATATACTAATTCATCTTTATAGTAGTTTTGTTTGTGAATTATGATGATACAAAAATAAATTAAAATCTTTAGAAACATATCTTTGAGATCGTATCCAATTGGAAAAAAAAACATAAAATTATGAGAACTTGGTGATTGGTGAAAGAGTTTATTAAAAACAAAGGACGAAAAATTATGTCTTAGTTTGATTATTAATGCTTTGTTTTCAATGATTTATATAGTTTCGAAATGCTTTTATTTTCAAAAAAATTATGGGAAGGCCTCAAATTTTAACTTTGCCTTAAGCCCCGATAAGTCTGGGCACGGCACGGTATAAACCCCACACTTCATCTTTGATACTATTGATTTAAAAACCCTAATTTACAGGAAAAGTTGCATAGGGAATACTAACTTTGACGCAAACACAACCAAAAATAGCACCACTACAGAATATGGGGACAAACCTGATTGAAGCTAGATGTTATTAGCAAGAAGAAAGAAGAGACGTTTATGTGAGAGATCACGGAAGAGGATAAATAATTGACTTTTAGGTAGAACGTATGAAGAATTTTAATGGAAAACAAAATCTAGCGTTACAAAGACAATGGGAGAGGGATCGTCGTTGTAAATAAGTTTGTTTACAGAAGGGTTATTACATTTAATTTGTTTAACTCTAAATTTATTGGATAATGAGTTGAGTTAAGTTGGGTTAACCATTTTGACACCCCTAGGTATTCCACGTGGCTTTTGTTGAATAATTACTTTTTATTAGTAAGAGATTTTCTTTTCATTGTAACTGTTCAAGTTTTTTGGTCTAATAAAAAAAGAAGTCGAGCATGGCTTGGTACCTGTGTATTCTGGTAAAACCTACGTGGATTTTTAACCTAAAAGACCCTAATATTAATTTCATGAATAGATAAAGAAAAAAAAAAAGGATGTGATAACCAATCAATCAAACATAAAATTCGAGATCTGAATAAAAATGGAAAAATGTCGCAATATTTTGGAAATATTATAAGAGAGGAAACAAATCGTTCTCAACATTCCTCTCCACCAAAGTTACATTTTTTATTCCTCCTGATCCCAACCAACCCCACCAACCAGATAAGAGACTCAGACGTTCGAATTTTACCAAATTTCTTCAGTTTCTTAAGCTTGGAGTCTTGCTTTGAGCTCAGCAGCGACAGCATCGATGAACTCCTCTGTGTTCAGGTAAGTGTCCCTCGAAAGCCTGAAAAATCCGACAGCAAACAAACTAAATCTAAGTGATATTGATGCGAACATGAACTTAGGCAGTAAAAGTAGAAATTGTAGAACTATACTTTGAGCCGTGAATGATGAGTGCAAGATCTTTGGTCATTTTCCCTGACTCCACTGTCCCAACACAAGCGGCTTCGAGCTTCTCAGTGAAATCCAAGAGTTTTGCGTTGTCATCTAACTTAGCCCTGTTTTGAAGACATGTACATTCATTCGCTTATGTAACCAACTTCCTTCTAATGAATATTAATATGGATGTTTTATTTTTGTTACCTGTGTGCAAGTCCACGAGTCCAAGCAAAAATGGAGGCTATGCTGTTTGTGCTGGTCTCACCACCTTTCTGATGAACCCTGAAGTGACGGGTGACAGTTCCATGGGCGGCTTCAGCTTCAATCGTCTTTCCATCTGGGCAGACCTAATGAAAATACACAACAGTTGTAAAAGCAGAAACTTAGAATCATGTAACAGCCTAGCAGAAGATTGTGTGACAATATAGCTAGGAACTTGTGAGAATTATACCAGAACAGATGTCATCAATCCAAGTGACCCGAATCCTAAAACACATTATAAGAAACAATCAGTTAACAAGAAACATAATGACTCACATATGAACATAGCACCATAATGTGTAAGATAGACATAAGTACTTAACGGCATATTCATTTACGATTACACTAACCTTGTGCCAAGAAATCACTTTGGACATCACCATCATAGTTTTTGCATGCCCACACATAGCCTCCCTCACTCTTAAGAGCGTAGGCCACCATATCATCAATGAGACGGTGTTCATACCTACCCAATTTAATCATTTAGATTCTTATCAGTAAAAGGTAATATCAGGGACCATGATATTCCAAAAATGAAAAAACAAAGAGACAGCTCACCAGATTCCAGCAGCCTCATACTTTGACTTCCAGCTGGCTTCATAGACTTCTTGGAAGATGTCTTTGAATCTTAATAGGAAAACAAAAAAGTAACCAACATCAAACTTCAAAGACAAAACTATATTATTAACCATGAGCAAAAGGACTATATGATAAAATGTAATGAAAACTAACTGTCACATACCTGCCATCGTATTTCTTAAGAATGGTATTCTTTGTGCTAAGATAAAGTGGCCACTTTTTCTCATAAGCAGTGTTCATCGATGCATCAGCAAAAGCACGGATGGACTGCATTATAAGAGAATAATATAACTCATCTTGGAAGACAATCTCCAAAAGAACAAGTAATTTGGACTGTAGTTGGAAGAGGTAAGCATAACTATACCTCATCAGTGTTGTACATTGCCATAGCAACACCACCTTCACCAGTAAATGTAAAGACTTCGGTTTCAGTTTTTCCATCTTTTCCCTCTGAAAATCAAAGACATTCAGATATTATTAATACCTAATGAAATATGGAAAAAGAAAAGAAAAAACATTTCAAAATTATGCAATGCCAACTTTCAATGACAAGACTAATGGAAGGTAGTAAGGTTACCAAAGGTCATGGTCAGTTTTCCTGGTCCCATGATTACAGCATCAGTGGCACGATACTGATCACCAAAAGCATGCCTACCAATGCAAATCGGCTTTGTCCAGCCTGGAGAAAACAAGACATATTCTCAGAACCCTTTGAAATAAAATTGTTAATGCAACTAGGCCATCGTCAATAATTACCTGGGACAAGCTTGGGAACATTTTTGCAGATAATTGGTTCTCTAAATACAGTTCCTGTGAGAAACAAACACAGTATATAAGTCAACAGAGAATGACACTGGATATGCTTAAAACATACGATTGTGTATAATTTACCATTCAGGATATTCCTGATGGTCCCATTTGGACTTCTCCACATCTGCTTCAAGCCAAATTCCGTGACACGGCCTTCATCTGCAATGAGAAAAGTTCAACACTCAGTAAAACAAAAACACAGGTAAAAAATGTTCAACTGCAAAATATCTATCAAGACAAACCTGGAGTGATGGTGGCACACTTGATCGCCACATTGTACCTAAAACAAAAAAATTAACATAATAATTCACACCAAGTATAACAGAGATGCAACATCATTCCAGTATATTTCAAGCTCAAACACACATACTTCTTAGTGGCTTCAGCACTTTCAACAGTAACTTTGTCATCCGTAGCATCACGATGAGGAAGACCAAGATCAAAGTACTTGATATCCAACTCCACAAAAGGGGTAATAAGCTGCAAAAATTCAACCAGAAAAAATTCAAAATACGCGTAAACACGAACCACACACATTAAAATGCATCAAAACAAGTTAGCTTAATACCTTATCCTTGATAGACTTCCAGATAACCCTAGTCATTTCATCACCTACATTACACAAGCCAACGAAGCATAAAACGTAAGTAATCAACACCAAATATCGAAACTATTTCGCCGATTCACATTTGTCAAACATATAATGAAATCCACACTGAAAACGAGTCCAGATTGTTCATTAGATAAACTTAATTCAATCAATCTCATGAACAGAGCTTGACGTTTTATCGATCTATAACGTAATCACAAACCAAAACCAAATCAATCAACGAGTTTACACATACGTAGATTCCAGAGATCAGATCAGAAACGAACAACGAAACTTCGATAAAATCTAGGCAAGCGAAGGTAAACAATACGTTTCATTTTCGTATTCAATCAACGAAGAGATCTGACTATAGAAAGCGATACAGAGGAGAAGGAGAAGGAAGATCTCACCATCCATTTCGACGATGGGATTTGCCACCTTGATCTTCTCAAACGCCATGGTTTTTTTTCTTTCGGTTTTTGTAAGAGTGACGGAATTAATCGATCGGATTGGATATTCCGATCGTCGGAGATCTAGAAACGAGAGAAGATCAAGCCGGAGAAGAAGATCGTCGAAGGAGGAGCTGGTGGTGAGTGATGTGAAGTAGGTGAAATAGCTTGTGGACGGGTCTTGAGGTTGTATTTATGCTATTTAAAATTTGGATTATGTTATTTTGACCCCGTTATTATTATCTGTTTGATTTTGGTCCCTACTTTGATTTTTCGTTGTATAGCCGCCACTTATTGTATAAAAGGGTCCCAGTATCAAAAATTCAAATGTCATATTCTAAGTTTTAACCTCATCCATTACTGTTTATAAAACAAAGTTTTGAAATATAATTATAAGCTTTACCTTTTTTTTGATGTAAAATTTTACCTAAAATTATAAAATTAATTGTTTTGTTGGTGTGAATTTAAAATGTTGGAGAAGAAGAATTAGAGAATATATTTATATCATTGCTGTCACATTATATTTTCTTTATCAATCAAAATCAAAACAAGAAAATAATCTTTAATATGTATTTGGTATCAAAATTATTTAGAAACAAATATTTCTTACATTAGCATTTTTATTATATTAATTTATACTAGAAGATTTTCTAAGTTTTTCGCATTTAGAAAATGATTAAAAACATTTGACTGAAATAAAATTAGAGCGTTTATTTTTGTATTTATTACCATTATTGATTAGTTGGATCAGAACACAGAAAAGTGGTCACTTCACATGCACTTTAGGGTGGGGATGGTCCACTAGAAATATTGTAATATCCCAATTTCTCTCTTCCGTAAAAGATGCTGACCACCTAACCAGATCCACTTTGTTCAATTTTTTTTTTTTCGCAACACAAGTTCACAAGTTGTTATATTACCCCGTAAAATATGTTTGTATATATATACTATATTATATGCAATTTTTTGATGCGAATGATATTTTATATTAAAATATTACTACTATATATTACATGAGAATTTTTTAATTTCCCATAAAAAATGACATCATATGTCAATAAAATTTAGACATGAAACATAAAACATATGTAGTTAATTAATGTCATTAGTAATCAATATAGTAAAATTATACAAACTGTTTTTTACTGATATAGTACAATTGTACAAACTAAGTTACAACTTTTTTTTTTTGATAACTAAGTACAAATCCACACTGTATATTATCGACAAAACAAAATGAATTACTCTCACGCCATGTCATACTCACACTATGTCGGACAATCAGAGCCGGCCCTAGCCACAAGCATGTGAAGCATCTGCTTGTGGCCTTCAGAATATATAGTTGTAACTCGGCCCCAATTTACGAAAACTTTATTAGTTCAGGTGGTAATAGCTGAGAGATTAAATCCCTAGCATCACGGGTTCGACTCACACTTCCTTCCTTTTTTCTCGTTTGTTAATTTTTTTTTCAAAAATGAATTTTTACAGGCCCAAAAAAAACATGTGGGCTTGTGGCCCCAAAACTTATAGCGCCGGCTCTGCGGACAATGTTTTCTTTAAAACCGCTCTAACATTAACACGTTTGTTATCTCTAATATTTCAGTATATAGATGATCTCCGCTCGCATGTTGGGCAGTGATTGGGTCGAAGAAGGGCAATTTTGATATGGGGATATGTTTTTTATTTTTATTTTTTTAAATGTTTTTCATTCTTAACTTCCGAAAAAAAAAAGAAAGAAGAAGATAAAATAAAAATGGAATGTAGGAGTCTTGGAGTGTCGTCCTTTTCCTCTTGCAGATCATGTAGATTATTTTCTACGGTTATCAAAGAAAAGACTCTTCAAGAGAGGAACAGTCATCTAAAACCTTAGCATTCCCAAAACTTTATCCGATCCAAACCATTTATTTTGTTTCTATCCAAACCATTTTGATGTGGACGTTTCAGGTTTCATTGAGACACAAATATATAAATATATGATTCCTCAAAGTTGATAATAAACCTCTTTGTATGATCTTGTGTTTATTAGTGCCGCATTAGCAATTTAATTTAGAGACAAATATTGTATGTATAACTTGAGGTCGATAGCAAGACTCGAAAATACTTAAGGGTAATTTAAGAGATCACATGGGCATTCCGCTCTCTCCATATGAAATGAATTGAAACTTGGAAAACGTAATGAATCAAGAACAGAAACGTTTGTCCAGTAGAGGTGTTCGAGAGTAGCAAGATTAAGCTATTCCATCTATTAGAGTGTATATAGTTGGTTTAGTTATGGTTTAGATTGGTTAGTATAGTTGGTTTAGTTTACTTTGTATTTAAGCTTGTTTTGTATCACCATTTACACTTAATGAAGATTATCACAAATATCTGAAATGGTATCAGAGCTTTCATCGTCTTCTTCATTCAAATTCTTCCGCTGAAAATTTTCTGAGATTCGTCCATTTTTTTTCGATTGATTCGATTCAATCGTTTTGGTTTCGGAATCTCTGCTCGATTCCGCTTCGTTTGATTGCTCAATCTCTGTGATCGAAGCTCGAATCAAGTTTTTCATTTTTTTTTCGTTTCCATAAGAATCGATCTTCGATTTCTTCTTTTTTCAGCTTGGTATCTTCAATTCCGAGTTGTTTCTTCTACGACGAAGTTGTATATGCTTCGATTTTCGTCATCCCCGATCAAATCCGATTAGATTGATCGGTTTTCATTCTCGGATTGGTTGAGTTTTCCGATCTGCGATTTCTTCTTCTTCTTTTTCATCTTTTTATTCTCCTTCAAATTGAGCTTCAATTGCTCTGTATACGACCGATTCTTCGTATCGTGTTCGTTTTCTTCCTCAAGAATTCTCTGATTCATTCTCCAATCGATTAGCTATCGATTACGCTTTGTTATAATCGGACGCGACTTTTCTCGGTCTGGATGTCCTCCAGCTTCTTCTTCCGATCGATACTTCTATTTCGATCGCGTTTCTTCAATCGTTTCATTATTTGATTCGATTTCTTCTTTGGTTTTGAGCTCATTAACAGTTTCACGGTGCAAACTCATTAATTTGGTATGGATTCTGCATTCTCACTCTCTGTATAAAGATTGTGGAACCTTCATAGTTGATGATGATATTTTCGTATGGAGAATTTGGGAATGTAGCTTTGTTGTTGAAGAGATGAACTCTTGGTTAGATAGTTTTACTCAGAATCTGGCGCTTAAGATTGATGGAAATTGGTTAGGATTCAGGTTTGATGATCATGATTTGAGTCTCTCTTCAAGACTATGCACCATTGATAACACGTTTCTGGTTTATGCTCTTCGTAAACGTAGAAGATTCAGTTCCTTTTTCAAGGATTCATTTGGTCCTATTTTCACCTCTGAGTTTGTGAGATTGCTTCAAGACTTATTGTGTGTTCATTTAGTTGGTTTATGGAGATTAAAAGATGAGTTTCAAAGGCCTAATGAAGAGTTTATCAAGATGGAAACCGCATCTGATCAGTGTTGTTTCTTGTCCTTGTTGCTTTCATGGCTGGATTTTATTGAAAACCATTATTCATCAGGGTGTGTCACAAGTCAGGGGGAGCTATGGTCAAGCAGATTCACTAATATGGCTGCTTTGATTAATGGAATTGATAGTGGCTTCAATACTCCAAAGATCATGCCTTCTTCTTTTATTTCTACTGAAGAAGTTGGGGAACAAGTTCAAGGTCTTCTTCTGGTTACTGTTGGCACTGCACTTCAACGGTTCTTACCTCTTTCTTGCTGCCAATTCTACATTGGGAACTTGTTTAATTTTGAGGCAATGCCATTGCCATACCTCTTATCTTCAGTTCTGCAATCACAATTACAACCTGCGCTTGGTGAACAAGTTGGTGCAGGAGATAAAGATGACTTGGACAGGATGAGACACTTCTTTGCTTATCCAGTTCTTTTACAAAAACAGAGCCGAGATTGTTGGTTTAGTGAGTTTCCTTATGGCTCTTCTACTCGTCCACCAGACACTTGCTATGCTTTCGGTTCACAAGCATCTCCCAAGATTATCAAAGCACAAGGAAGGATCAAGAGCACATGGATACATTCGAAATGTTTTATTGACTTGGTGCTACTCAACAATCCTCGAAGTCACTCCCTGCATACACATGGTTCTTGTTCTTTAAGTCCAAGATGGAATACTTCCACCTTGCTTAATGGTGATGGTAGCTTACTAGCTTTATTGGACAAGAGCGCCTCAAGAACAAGACCACCAGAAGGTCATTATGTTTTCAGTTTCAAGCCATGTATATTCATGTCCATTGATGCTGCTCTCACTTAGAAAGTTGTGGAGGACACATATTCATGGAGTTTTCAAGTCCAAGATGAAAGTGCCTTTCATCTTGAGGGGGAGTATTAGAGTGTATATAGTTGGTTTAGTTATGGTTTAGATTGGTTAGTATAGTTGGTTTAGTTTACTTTGTATTTAAGCTTGTTTTGTATCACCATTTACACTTAATGAAGATTATCACAAATATCTGAAACCATCTAGTAGTGAAATGAATTTTCAGTAGCTCTTTTGCTAATTTCCCCCATACCTCAGACGTATAGCCACATGAGAAAAAAAAACATATGGTTTATTGACTCCATTTGATCCCCACAAAAAATGTAAGCTGTGTTAGTCAATTATGTATCGTTAACCATGCATGCAAGCAGATAGTAATTTGGAGTAGAGTGTGTGAACCAAATCCCTTTGTGCCAATCAACTTAAGGTGTTGCTTCTCTTGTGAGCAACCAAGTGTTCTTTGATTTGGACTCTTGCTTAAATCGTTTCTCTTTAAAACGCAAAAGATATATGTCATCTACAACTACTGAATTCACTCTCTGTTTTTCTATCAACTCCTCGATCAGAGGCAAAGTCTCATTTCTATGTCGTCTTCTTCCTTAATTCTGATCAAGGAGTTGATAGAAAAACAGAGAGTGAATTATGCCAATGGTCAGTACTTTAAGATTTTACCCTACATCTGTGACTGTGAGCCCATGGTGGTAAGTTTTTCGAATTGACCAAAAAGATTGCTTTCGGATTAGGTAGTTTTTAATCCATTGTACCCAAAGCGACGGCTTGAAGTATCATTTTGTTGAGGTTTTCTTTTAGAAAGATTGATATTATCTATAAAAAAATAGATATTTATATTCCTGATAATTATACTGTTATTAACGGTTTTAAATGGCGATAATGCATTGCTGACTGCTAGTTAAAAGTAGCCCTCGCACAAATTTAACGATTTGAAAGGTTTTTTTTTTGTTTTTAAAAGAAAATATATTTTTTCCATAAAACACCTCAAACTTGTTAAGAATCTCGAAAAATTGAAGATATTAGTTAGAAAACTATAACAAGCTAGAGGTTTTATGGTATTTTCCCTTATAAAAAAAGTATTTTATGGTTCCAAATTGGAGACTAGAAAAATTAGAGGTTTTAATTGAAAAAATGGAAAAAGTTGGAGGTTTTCTATACTATTTTACCTAAGAAAAAAAAACTAAATTATAAAACCTTACATATATTAATATATTTTAATATACGTTTTATCTGATAAAAACAAATAATTGGAAATTATAACAATTGGAATCTGCAAAACGATTTCATATTTTACTATGTAGAAAATAATAAAATAATAAATATGATCTCACCAATGTTCAAAATTAATAAGACAACAAAACCAATACATTTATTATAAAACTAGATCATCATCCGTACTACAGTACGTGTTAAATTTTATTTATTAAAAAATTTATATATTATATATTTTAGAAGAAAGTTGTGATATATTATAATAGTAATTGAAAAAATATAATAAGATTTTTGTCAGTCCCTATATATAATATTAGAATGAATATATATATGTTTTTTTAATTATACTTAATTACGGATATATTTTTTTAAGATATTAAAACGGAAAATAAAATTATTTTAATAAATTAATATGGTCTGAACAATGAGTTAATTTATATTAACAACCACAAAATGAAATTGCATATAATTCAGTTAGATCAAAAATCAAAATATTATAAATGAATCGCTTCTAAAACGTAGATTATTTTTAATTAATTAAGAAAGTTAGCTATTATTTTGAATTAATTTAGGAAATTCTTTTTTCAATTTCTAATTATTTGGTTGTTGAAATAGAGATCATTTGTTTGAGGTAACTACGGAATTTACCAATTTTTCGTCTAATCGAATATGTTATGAATATATATTTAGTATATAATATACCAAATTCAACCCGTGCGTGGAGTCTATATTTTTATTTTAGAATCCTAATAAAAATATTGCGTGCACTATCTATTATTCGTTATTTCCAAAATTGCTTGCACAATCAAATTTTCAAATATTTTGTGGTGTCAACCTTATTTAATCTATCTGATCATATAATCTTAACATGCCGTCTATTATAAGGATCATAATTTTATATCATATAATATATTACATTTAACCCTCCGCCTACTATAACTATTTTAAATATATCTTTTTAGAAAATCAAATTAAAGTATTTATAATTTTTTTTCTCTTTTTAATCTATTAAATATTTATGATATTCATTAAAATATTAAATTAAACTATTTTTAAATGTTCCAAATTAAAATCCTTAAAAATATTTCTTGTAGTATATAAAATTATGAATTTCAAAAAAGAATTATATGAAATTTAATAGAAATATTCAAACAGTTATAAGGATCATAACTCATTTGTTAATAATCAGGAATTTCGAAACCCTAGGCGTCATAGTCGATTTCGAAGTTCTCCGGCCAAACCTGCTTATCTCTCAGGAATTTCGAAACCCTAGGCGTCGTAGTCGATTTCGAGATTCTCCGGCCAAGCCTGCTTATCTCTCAGAAGATTCATCTTGAACGATGAAGAAGCCTACGAACAAGCAGGCTAAGGCTTTAACATTGGTCTTTTGGGACATCATTAACTCTCCGGTCCCAGATGGTTGTGACCCTCGTGTGGTCCGTCCGAGTATTAAACGGCTTTTGGAGAAGGAAGGCTACTGTGGTCCTCTCACCGTCACTGCTGTTGGCAAACTAGCGGACGTCCCTCCTGACACCCTGAGAGCACTCTATTCCAGTGGAATCCATCTTATCATCTCCCCCTTCGGCGGTTTCTATGACATTGACGGTTTAATTAAGATGGATACACCATCTAATATTATGGTCATATCCAATGAGACAGCCAGCCCTGGTTTATTTAAGTTTCTAAAATCGACTGGCTACAACCCTCTCAAGCCGTTTCCATATGGTTCCCTTGACACCTTAATTATGCAAGATTCACTGGTACTTGAGGACGAAACAGAGGATTCTGCCTTGTGGCATTGCTTTGTATGCTGCCTTGATCCTCCTGCCCACGGCTTTGAAAATTTCATCACACATCTATCAACGGGAGATCATAAAGTGATGCTGAGTGTACCTAGGAATACTGTGCCTCGTCCGCCAGTTGATCTCTCCAGGTTGCATGTGACTGCTTATCTGATGGAGAGCGATATGATGAGTCGCGATCAGCCGTGGACGGACGAGCGGCCTCCACTTCCTACAGATTTATCAACAAGACTCGCTAAATTGAAAGACTTGGAGGCTGTAAAGTACGAGGGTGAGTCGTTTGTCTATTGGGACATCAAGTTGTGTCCGCTTCCCCCCTACTGTGATGCTAGTCTGGTCGGTCCGCGCATCAAACTCTTCCTGAAGAATGAAGGCTTCTCTGGTCCTCTCACCATCATTGCCATTGGCGTACTAACCGACGTCCCTATTGACATCCTGCAAAAAGTCTATTCCAGTGGCATCGCACTTCGTATCGTCCCCAACTGTCCTTCAGCCATCCGGAGCCTCATTGGTAATTGGGTTTTTAGAAATGGACCTCGACGTAATATAATGGTCATATCCAAGGACGAATTCTTCACTAATCATTGTGGCGTGCTACATTCGTCACAATATTGCAACTTTAAGCTGTTTGATTCTCTTCCTATGGCAGACTCTGGAGAGTGCAGAAAAAAGTGTGTATCTCCCTTCTGGTTTTGCTCAGTATGCAACTTCCGTAATTTTCCTTGCCAAGACATTGATAGTTTCACAAACCACCTCTTTGGTAAATACCATCAACGAAAGTTGTTTGACCTGTTGAGAAGTGGAGATGGCTTGGATGCACCAGTACGTGAGCCTCTTGAGGAAAACCTAAAGGCTGTAACAGCGGTCTACTGGGATATCAAGACGCGCCCGGTTCCACCTGGCTGTGATCCTCATCGTGTCGGTCCGTGTATTAAACGGTTTTTGGAGAATAAAGGCTACTCTGGTCCTCTCACCATCACTGCCATGGGCGCACTAGAAGACGTCCCTAATGACATCCTGAGAGGAATCTATTCCAGTGGAATCTCTCTTAATTGTATCCCCTACGGGTTTTCAATCTCTCTGGAACGTCATATTGATGAGTTCATGGATTGGAATCCACCTCCAGGTAATATAATGGTGATATCCGCTTCTAATGGTGTTCGCCGGCTACTACAGTCGAAGGGATACAACATTGTTGAGCCGGTTCCATGTGAGAGCTTTTTTCTGGCAGATTCAGAGGCACTTGAGGATGATAAGTGCGGTGAAACGATTGAATACTTGCACTTGTATTGCTGGGTATGCTGCCGTTATGTTGACAACTTAAAAAATTTCACCACTCATCTTGCTAGTAACCGACATCAACGCAAGTTATTGCACTGGTCCCGGTCATGCCCACTCCTTCCCATTTTGACAAAGGAGACTGATAGCGTCAAGGAAATTGCCGCCGAAGCCAAAACAGCGCTAGATGAGAAAATTGCCGCCGAAGCGCTAGAGGTGATGGCTTCGAGTGTCGGAGATGAAGAAGAATGTTGGAGAAGCTTTAAGCGAGAAGGGGGTTCCGTACCCTAAAACCGGTTATTACAGACCGGTTGAACAACAAGCAATAAATTTATGAAGAAACCGTATTTTTATTAATTAATGTTGTTTAATGAGAAGATTAGGAAAATGGGTTATGATCTTTTGTGGTGAATCCCATCTTATTCCGTTACCATTTGTGTAATAATCGTTGATCTTATCATTAATCGTTGTCCCATTAATGAAGATTTGCTATGACTCAAAGTCAATACTTTTAATAAATTTCAATTGGTATAAAAATTATTTTGACGAAAAAAAAAAACTCATTTGTTAATAGAATATATTATATTTCACCCACTGCCTATTATAAATATTTATTTTAAAAAAGTCAAATTAGAGTATTTATTGATGATATTCTTTAAATATTGATGATATTCTTGAAAAATATCAAGTAAAACTAATTTTATATGTTGCAAATTAAAATATTTAAAAATCTTATTGTAGTATATAAAATAATACATTTCAAAAAATAAATGTATGAAATTGAATATAAATATTCAAATTCTGACCCGTTACTCAGTCAAAATTTTTGTTGAACTTATTTTTGGTTAAAAGAAATATATTACTCAAATGTGAATCTTTGACCCGTTAAATTTTTTTCTTCATAGATTTAACAATTTATATTCGTTTTAAAAAATTCAAATCTTGGCATATGCAGAAAAAATTTACTTTTTTTTGTTATATGGATAATATGATGATTTATTTGTTTCATAAAAATAGAATCATATAAAGATGAGAGGTGAAGTATAATGATTAATAACAAATTAATAGGGTAAGTTGGATATCAAATCTTATATGTTCATTTTGATTGGTCATTCTTTTTTTTAAGTTAATAATATATTTTCGTTTTTAATAATTAAATTAATTAAATTGCATAAATTAGTATTTGACTTGTTTATCCTTAATGAGCTGAATTAATTTACTCTTTAAATTTTTATCTCTAATGGCATTCTAATGTAATAACTTACAAAGGAGAAGTTTATTAAAGGGTAATTATAAATTGTACTCCCCAAATAATAGTATAGGATATAAATATAAGGAAATTAATTGAAATATTTTTTGTTTCATGTGTAACAAACAACAAAACGTACTTTTTCTACATAAGTTTTCTATAGTTAAGAGTATTTGTGTTTCTCTTCTTTACATATTTGTTAGTGAATCTTGTGTCTTTATTAGTTTCGGCTTTCAAGGAAAGTTCAAATCCTAATTGGCTAATCGTAAGTGTATATATATCGGCCAGTGACTCTAAGTAATAACCAAAAAAAAAATCTTCTACAAAGTAACAAAAAAATATATCATATAATGGATATCACCAAAAAATGCTTGTCGTATTTCTTCTCACTATGTTTTTTGTCACATCATCGGTTCATTGTTCTGATAGAACTCTTGGTACAGTCTTATTATACTCTCAATTTTGTTTTAGTTTGGACATATTTTTATCCTTTATATATGATTATAAAGATTTGTTTAATGATTATTATTAAATAAATGTTGGAATCAAGCAAGATTGGAAAAAATGTTTCAGCCCAGCCCCATGTCAAAAAGCAGGGACGCAAGGCTGCATGGAGTTTTGTAGAAATATAAGCTTTTTATTATTTGGTGAATGTACTACTAATCCTGATCAATGTTGTTGTGTGCAGGGGCGGACCCAGAATTTTTTTTAACCCAGGTCATAATAAGAAAGAAAGGTAAAAAATATAACCAAAGATGTCAAACTGGGAATCGAACTAGTGTTTGGGGGTAATTTCTTTATGTAATTCTTTACAGAAAAATATTTATATCATTATTTTACCAGGTCAGTTGACCTTCCTCTCTTCTTAGTGGATCCACCCCTGGTTGTGTGACTAAGACAAAATAATCTAATTAAAGATTGATATTTTTTTTAAAATTGAGATATTTTCTAATCCTGATAATTATACTGTTATTAGCCTCAGAGGTTAATATTACAATCAACAAATCCGAAGAAGCATTAAGTTAAAACCCCAAAAAAAAATGTAGTAAGCTACTTCTTCAATCATCTTATACATAGCTTATTGGTTCGGCTCTTAAAATATTTTGAGCCCAAAGATGTGGCCCACTCTATATATCTGGTCAGCAAAAACGATGTTGGAATTTAGAAGACAAGCCTTCTAAATTTTGGTAAAGATCTGAATCCATCCGAGTCCCGAGAGCATTTGGGAAAATGGGTCCATAAAAGTCCATTAACAAAAACCTAATATTGCATGTTTTGCAGAACCCCTATCTTCACTTGCTTGCTGATATATAAAATAAAATCCCAAATATGTATCGCAATTGTCAAAACTGGTTTTGGTTTAATTGGTCGATACATTTCAAAATCTTCCAAAGATTCTCGGTTCGGTCACTAACTAGACTTCTTAGCATACTCTCCAAGGAATTTTGAAGCTTGGCCCATAATTTTTTTCATGCAAGGTTCTTTTCTATTTTCGATCTTCATTGTGTAAGTTCGGTTCTAATCATTTAGTAACCTAAACGACATGTGGGCCGTATTGGTTATAAGGTAAACGTTTGGATCCATTAACTTAAAAATTGGTTCAGAAAATTAGATGAATATGACATTTCAATAAATCCCGAACAGAAAACTATACATAAAGTTTTGGATTCATTAGGGGAATTATAAATCCCGACATCTCGTATTTTCACATCCTCGGATAATATAACACCTAACAAAGAACATGGCCTTGTGACTTGTGTATATGTTTTGTAGTCGAAAGGGAACACTATATGAACAATGCATACCCTACTTTTGCCCATCTTTATACACAAAATCCTCTCCCACGTATAATTTAGCGGTCACATAAATGATTTTATCTAATTTATTGTAAGGGTCCTACTAAAACTAGTAAGCCCCGATCGCGATCAAGTGAATCTTTAACTATTACAAGGTCATTCATTTGACATTTGTGACACTATATAGATGCTTTGATTCTCACTGTCACCTGTTATACTTACAATTCAAAGTGGTTGACTGTTACGTCTACATTGAAATATTGTTGGAACTTAAAAGAGATATTAAATTTGGAAATTTGGGTGGCCAAAACATTTATGTTTTTTTAGTTTTAAAAAGAACAGCTGTTTGTAAACACTACAAAGGTCGGTGAGAAATATATTTTTAAATATTAAAAACAAAATTGTGAAGAAAATACCTCTACAAGTACTTTTCAGTGCAAATATATGATACAAGTGCAGTGTAAGTTTCATATTTACGTTAATATTTTTAGTATTCAAAAGTATTTTCTATCTAAAAATATGTCATAGTCAACATAACATAACTCACTACACTGCATGTCCTCGTCCAGAAACATTTTGTATTTAATTAGTTCTCTTTAATATCTGTAGGACTTGCTTTAGTTTACAAGTAAATTTAGTGTAGTGACTTGTGTTAATTAGTACCATATTATCAGCATGGTAGCGAGATCCATCATTGAGTTTACGTATTTGATTACTAAAGATACAATTGTTTCACAAATTTTTTAAGCAATGTATCATAATGAGATCTGGTTTCGACTTTCGATACTTCTAAGTTACTTATAGCCATATCTATGCCCATAAAATTGGATTTATTTATGATTTATTCAGCTATTATAAATGCCACATGGACATGGATGATGAAAACAAGACATTGTGGTATGACCTAATTGACAAACATAAAGAGACATGGTAGAAAGCACTTAATTATCTGACTTGTCTCCGATTAGTTAAATACAAAGTCGCATATAAGCAAAAAATGGGATTTGATTTCATTCCAATGTATTTTTATAGTTGAATTTTTGTTATTTTATATATTTATGTACGGGTTACTTTGTTCAATAGCAAATTGAAATGACAAAAAAAAATTCAAGATTATTGAACAACTACCACAATAGCAATAAGCGCTTTCAGGTTTTTACAAGCTAGAATATAGTCTGGTAAGGATGTAAATTTCTGTATTTTCTATTTTTTTTTGTGGAAAACTACTTTTGTATTTTCTCTTCCTCCATTATTTATAGAGGAATATGGAGAAATGACAATATTTTAGTGAAATAATTTTTATATAACTATATCATATTTTATTAATTTTTTAAAATAGACATAACTATCCATAGTGATCTCACAAGCATAATTAAATATGCAATGTCATCATTTATTTTTGTCATTCTCTTTTATTTCTAAGTGAAGTTAATATTATTTCCCTTTCATTTTTTTTCTTTCTATCTATTTAACGAAATTGATTTAAATTAACTTGCGTTCTACTGAAAATGTTATAGTTTTTTTTTTCCGCATATATCTTGATTGATATTCTTAAAAACAAAAATTATTCAATAAATATATATGTGATGTTGATGTTGAATGAGAACGTATTATTCTATGTAGAGTACTACACATTATGTAAATACACCATTTTTGGGTTTAAAATTTAGTTTAAAATTATCAGGGATTAGAGTTTTGCTTGTAGGATTTAGAGTCTAGGTTTTGAAATTTTGAGTTTCAGCAGAATATACACTATCATTTATCTAGAGTCGATACTTCAACCTATTGAACTATACAAATCTTTTGAGGAAAGTAGGCAATATCTCGAAATCGAATCTTGATAAGGGGGAAAAAGACTAATATACGGTGTTAAGGTCTCCAATCCGGCATAGCACTAGAGCATAAGGTCTATAATCTTTTGGTTAGTAAATAAGTATTACCCGTATATTGATGAGACTAAAAGACAGCATAGGCAACACGAGACTCTCGTCTAGATTACTATGAAAATATGTAATCTTATTAAAACCCTAATCACCCAAATAAAAAGACGGAAAGCAAATAGATCAAGTTCCAAAGCAACTTCATAAAGCCTTAAAAGAAGCCGAAGTAGGATAATCAAGCATGGCATGTGGCCTAAAATCATAGGGTTTGGTATTAACCCTCCCAAATGTATTTAAATCTCAACTATAATATATATGAAATACTATCTATATGATTTATCAACAAAACTATAAGTTTACAATCATGAATGTTATCACCACAATAATTGATGCTCAATTACAGAAATGACAAACGCAAATGTTTTTTTTTCTATATAATAATTGGGACCCAAGAAACTGAATATAACGAATCAAATCTTATGCCCACTAACCAATCAAATCTTCTGCAAATACTATCGTGATTTTCTATCTAAACCAATCAATCAACAAATCTAACAATTTTTATTGGTTTAGCTTTTTTTTATTTTTATATTTGTGTTCGAGACAAA